TTGAAAACAATTTCCCTAGATATTTAAATAATAATACTAAAAAAATAAATTTTTATGCAGAATTTAATTTCATACTCAAGAAAATAGTATTATATAAATAAACAATACAGCATTTTAGACCAGAAGGTGATTAACGTTTTTTTTAATGAAAGAAAACTGTTCAGGGATAACAATATTCCAATGGTTTGTATTGCATCACGTTTTGAAAATGTTAGTACTGTGTTTGCTGCTTTAAATAGTATTAAAACTGATATTTTTCAATATTGCCAAAGGAGCAGCTGATAGTAGTAAGATAACTTAGAGTGATATAACTATTCATCTAAAAGGGATTTTAGTAACTTAATAAACCTCACCCAAACTCCTTTTTCCAAGTTGAAGAAACTGATTCCCAAAGACTTGGACTTGCCCAAGCTCACAAAACTAACTATAAGAAATCTGGAGTTAGAACTCAGATATCCGGTTTCTCAGTTGTACTCTGCCCACCATTCTACAATTTTCATAATCTGGTAAAATTTTCACACTAACTTTTGTAACCATGGTCATTATTAACTTAGTTGGCTTATCTTCTCAGATGATTCCTTATTCTTCCACTGCCTTCTCCATAACTACCCACCAGATCAAAACTGTTTGAGCTCTTACACAGCCACTTAAAATGTGGGGAAATACTCAAGTTTCTTAAGCTCTGAGTCAAGATAGAGCAGAGAAAAGGAGTTTCACAAAATGGGAAAATACATGCATGTTAGTCAAGATAGTTCCCAAGTGTAAACTAGTATAGGAAATTATTTTCCTAATTTAATCTTGGCTCTGATTTCAATAGGGCTGTATTGAAAAGTATTTAAACCCATATGCTTCCATTCCAAAGCAGAGATATTATCAATTTTCCTGCCTCCTAGGCGCATTGGCTGACANCCTTAGACAAAACAGAATTTTGTGTTGTTCAGGGATAAGCACATGTGAATTAAAAGTATTAAGAGATATACTGCAATGATAAGCATCAAATTTAGAGTGATGGTTACCTCAGTGGGGTGCAAAGGAAGGAAGATGTGATGAGGGAGTGAACAGAGGGAGGTCCAAAAGTATTGGTCATGTTTTATTTCATAAGGCAGAGAGTAGCTACACAGGTGTTGATTATATTACTCTTCAAGCTATTGTCTATGGCCAAAATATTATTTTTTTGTAAAAATTAAAGACTAAAAGTAATGTTGATAAAATGGTTGCTGCAAAGATAATAGTTACTATATGAAAATATGCAAATTGCTAAAAATTAAAAGTACCTATAGCCATATAGGTAGATGAGCTAAATCCTTGAGCAAAAAATTCACAAAAGGACTAAAGAAATAAAAATGTGCTCAAGCTCAATAATAAGCAAAGAAACATGAGGCTCGATTTTCAATTATTTCTAAAAAACTTCAAGTATTCTCTGCTTCCATGGCGTACTCTACCTTTGCATCCAGTAAATTTACTCCTGAGACTCTGTCCTCAGATAGTCCTCACTATTGATAATTACTGTCTTTGAGTTATGGAATTATAGGTCTTTTTTCCTGTTATACATAATTCTTCTTAAATACTTTTAATATTTAAAAATTAAGTGGTGCATTAATACTTATTGGTAGCATACTTATAAATTAGCAGTATTCCCTAGGTGCTATTCTTTTATAACCAATTAAACTAGGAAATGACATTTAAATGTCTTATTGGATTACTTTGTTCCTCTGTTCATATATGCATATAAATTTATAGTTTTCTATTTTCTCTTTAGGAAAAGAAAGAAAGGCAGGAAAGAATTGAACGAAAACAAAAGAAACGTCATTCCTTTCTTGAAAACGAGGCCCTTCCTCCGTGGAGCCCTCCAAGCAGAACTGTGTTCTCAAAAGTGTTTTGAGAATTCTAATTCTTACATTATTTTTTTATTAATTCAACAATGTTAGCCATAGGTTTAAAACTATTTATTCAATTATTTATAGTTAGAGGAGTCTATTTTAATTAAATGCCAGCCACTTCTGCTGATAATGAAAAAGATGCTTTGGAGCTTAATCAGTGAAAGCATTTTTTGAACTGTAGATAAACTGCCTCAAATGAAAAGCTAATAATCAGATTGCTCTTACTTTTAAAATACATAACCTTCATCATGTCCTGATAATTCTTGCAGTCACATGATCTGTGGTCACTTTCACTAAGCTGTGCTGTTATTTAAGGTTTATTCCCAAAAATAAAAAGGAAACCACCTAGGTACAATGATCATAGAAATACTGAATTTGTAAATGATTGTGCATCTAGATTCAGGTTTTTAAATGAATTGATCTCTGGGGAGTATGTATATATTATTTCTTATGAAATTGATCTTTAGCTCAAAGNTTAGCATCATTTGAGGCCTGGAAGGCGATGAAAGAAAAGGAAGCAAAGAAAATAGCCGCCAAAAAAAGGCTTGAGGACAAAAACAAGAAGAAAACTGAAGAAGAAAATGCTGCAAGAAAAGAAGAAGCACAACAAGTATTCAGCAGCTCTGCAGAGCTGTCTTCATTATTTTTAAATATTTGAAATCTAAATTAGTGATTAACTGGGTATCTACTTATTTTACAGTACTCACAGTAAATAAAATCATTCTGAACTTTTTCAGGCTTTTGAAAGATGGAAAGAGAAGAAGATGGAGTACCTTAAAGAAAAAAATAAAAAGGAGAAAGAATATGAAAGAGCAAAGAAACAGAAAGAGGAGGAAACTGTTGCTGAGAAAAGGAAAGATAACCTAACTGCAGTGGAAAAGTGGTAATCCAAAATAATAAATATTTTGGTAGATTTTAGGTTAACAGCTTTGGCTTTTCTAAAATGTATCCATTTGGCATTCACTAATGCATCTCAGTCTCATTATTGTTAAGATACATTAGGAAATCTCCATTATATATTCTCCTTTAACTTTCCAGTGTTTTATACTATTCTACATAGGAATGAAAAAAAGGAAGCCTTTTTCAAAGAAAAAGAAAAAGAGAAAATAAATAAGAAAAGAAAAGAAGAACTGAAAAGAGCCGAGAAAAAAGATAAAGATAAACAAGCTATTGATGAATATGAAAAATGGCTGGTAGGTGTCGTTTTTAATGCACTTGTATTTGTAAATGTGCTTTTTTGTGACCTCTCTGTCCCTATTTCAGCTCTGTTTGTGCCTGCCTACTGACCATTTCCATCTGAAAGCTGCCCTGTTGAATTCATTCTCTCCTCCTACATATATTACATTATCTTTGATTTACTTGTTTACATTAATGCTTCCACTATTCCCTGAAGCACTCAGGCTTAAAACTTCAGTCATAATATTCTTCCTTACGGGCATCCCCACAATTACTCATTTATCAGTCACACCCATTCTCCCTCGGCAATGACTCTCACATTTAAAATCATGGAAAGCTGACAAGTAGAAGGTATGCCAGAGTATTTCAGGGGGAACTTGGTCATGACACACAGTTAACACTGAATTTATTCCATTTTTTATTCTCTCTTGATCTTTTTGATGAAGGTCTTGTTTAGGTGTTTTTTAATGAAAGACAGCAAATGAAGTTAGGGAGGGAAATACCTTGCTGGACTTTATATTTTTTTTGTTACTTTTTTGTTTGTTTCAGTATACCTTTGTTTATAGTTGCTTTTTACTAATGTCAAACAAATACTGTTTTCTACCTTAAAATATCAATNAATCAAAACTTTGGGAATCTTTTAAATTATCATTAATCAAAAGTGCATTAATCAAATAGAACGGGATCAGCAAGCTGTCTCTGCAAGTTGCCATTTAGTACATTTGTTAGGCTTTGTACGCCATGTAGTCTCTGTTGTAACTCATGACTTCTGCTGTGGTAGTAAGGCAGCAGCCATAGGCAATATGTAAATGAATGCATACAGCGGAGAGGCAGTAAACTTTATTCACCAGAACAGATGGTGGGCCATATTTTTCTGCCAACTCCCGAAATAGAGGACATTATTCTAACTTTATATTTAGAATGCTTTATGTAACAAAATCATACAAGAAACCACTAAAACCTACTTTATTCATATTTTCCATGTAATTTCAGATGTAGTCTGTTTCTAAAAAATGTTGTAATTAAAAATACCTAAAAAGAGCAATCACTTTGAAGCTATACAACTTAAAGTCATAAATTTTAAATTATGTTGAGTGACACTCTTTGTATACTAAGAAAAGACCATTCGTCATTTACAAAGTCATTGTAATTTATTAAATATAATGTAGTTTTCAAATATATAGTAGTTGCAAATTCTAAGGAACCTTGCTTCTACCAAGTATAATTGTAATATTTTATCTTGATTCATTTGAATCTTTTCAGATTAATGACCTCTGAGTTTTTAAAGAATTCTAGCTCTATAAGGAGAACATCGAAAACTACCTCTTCTCAGTATTTAGGAACTTTGAAAGTCTTGGACCAAAAGCCCTCACAGAAACAGAACATAGAACCTGACAGAGCAGATAACATAAGGGCAGCTGTTTATCAGGTAAAAAGAAAAAGGTTTTTTTAATTAGAAGAACTAATCATTTGTATACGATTACCTGTTTATTAAGGAATAAAATAACCCCATAAGAAATAATGATTTAATACTTAATCTAATGGGAAAGATTTTCCTTTGTAATACCTGAACAATCCAAAGGTTTATTTTGAATTATTTCCTTCCAAGTTTTGCTTAACTAATCATAGTAGTTTTTAAAGAAAAATGTGCCATTGCAATTTATAAAAATATAGCAAAAGCAAAAATATTGTTAAGGTATA